GGGACAGAGGGCACCGCATTGTGTTCGCCATCGACAGCCTATTTGAGGGCAAACTGCGAGCGCACGGCTTCGAGGAGCAGCTCCTGTCACTGCCCGACCACTTGCAAGACGATGAGAGAGAGAGACTTGTGATTATTACCTTAAAAATTATAAATTAAAATTTGAATATTTATTTAAAATTATGATAAAAGAAGATAAATTATTAAAATATTTTATAACTATGTTATAAAATATAACTTATAACAAAACGCATGTTATGTCTAAATGCAAATTAAACATCACATATGATTGTGAACGACAACTAATAAAATGTGAGTTTTTATGAATGAATTAATGAAACAAAAAATTAGTTTTTCTCAGAAATCGCGATTCAAATGCAGACATATTTTATATACAAATTGTGTTTTAAAACACCCATAAAATTACATTTGAATAACACTTTTGGGCGACAATACATCCGTACAATTATACAGTATTTAAAATGTTTATTGACTCAATAAATGCAATATATTTTTATTAATAGTTATTTATGAAAAATATTATAAAGATTATTATAATTTTATTGTATTTTCCAAAATTTAATATATTAAACACTAGATGAAGATTTAACTTATAAAAAATTTAATTTCAAATGAAGTAAGTTAAATCTATTCTGGCATATCTTGCATAACATTTATGATTTTTATAATAAGAATAATTATAATAAATGAGGTAAATTAAAAATAATTATTTTTTTTATAACCTTTATACAATACATGTGATGAATGTTTTAGTCTTATAATATTAATCATTTAATTAATACTACAAATCATTGATTGTATATTTATATTGAAAGAATGGCTGAATATATGGACCAAAACGAGAAGATATACAAATCATTGGCTCATATAAGACACATATACTCTCAGCTGAGCGCCGATGAGCTCCGATTGAGGGCTGAATTCTGGGCTAAAAGTGTATTGTTTTGGACAAAAGAGTGTGAATTTTGGCAGTTTATGGACGAGAGGTTGAGACTGGACTGCGAGGCCAATAAAGTGGAGACACAAATCATTTATAATCTAATCATACGAATCCTTAATTCCGATAAATATATTCAAACCACAAAAGGCTTAACATTGGACTCGATTCGTGACATTCAAATGAATGCTGAGTTTGATTTTGATTGTTAAAAATGCTTATAATTTATTTATATGTAATTTATATGAAGACTACTATTTATGTATTTAGTAAAACAATTATAAATACTGTATATTGATTTTGTATTTTTATATAACACTAGTTTTTATTGCATAAGATCACTTTATTATACTGTATATTGTGAATTATATAAGAGAATTTTAAACTAGATATTTTAGGTTATTTTACTTATCCTATAAAATACGAGAGTATTTGCAATTATGATAGATTTGCAAAATACGGCACACATTAATTAATTGAAGTACTGTTTTAATTCATTCATATTTTACTGTAAATGTGTAAAACATTTCAAAATTCAAGAACACAAATGTTTTATAAAATAATCATTTGTATAATTATTTTCATTTAGTCTATAATTATTGTTCATTTCAATTAATTCATAAAATTGTTGTACGAATTCATTGCAATTATTGTTAAATCATAATTAATTTTCCAAGAAATTGTGGCAATAAAAATGGACCATGTTACCTCAGAACAATTGTGGTATTTGTTATTTATTTTTTATAAATAATTTTAGATAAAATTATATAAATTAATACATGTATGTAGGTAATAATTACGCAATTTTTCTAATTAAAATACCAGTTATTAAACTACAATTCACTATTGATTATTGTATAATAACTTATAAATTAATTTGAATTTTTCGTTATGTATAATTAAAATGTTTATACATTTATACATAAATAACTTAATACTATATAAATTATATGAAAACATACGTAATTATTAAATTACAATAAAATTCATAATACAGTATTAGTAATCAAAATATTATGAATGAATTAAAATAATCTAAAACTAAACTGAATGTTAGGAACCAATGGATTCATGTGATGACAAATTCATCTGAAGAGGAATTTATGCCGGAACTGGTCTTCTCGTGTCAAACACCACAACAAGATATCATATACTCGGATGAGTTACGTCACGTCGACGCCTACCTGTTTGGCACAGAGGCATACGTTGAGCCCATTTATAGGACCGACACCACTGTGTCAGGCAATGAAAACGAGCAAGCACATTACGATGACATTACCATGAATAACCCGGATCATAATTATTTTAAAGCGACTGACCCTGTATTTAATGGGAAGATCAACAACAAGATGGTAAGTGCGGCCAATTGTCGGCTAACCAGAAGTGCTGCCAAGAGAGGCCTGTGTCTTAATGAATCAGAAATACAAGTTAATAATACAAAACGTGGTAAATTGATTGAGAATATCACCGAGATAGTATTAGGTAAATTTATAACTTATTTATATATTTTAAATTATATTAAATCTATTTTCTATACTTGTTAATAGATGAGCAATATTACTCCCGGAGCCCATCGGCCACACCATTGGGCGAGTATGCGATCGACCGAATTGTTTCAATTGAAACAATTGACGGACAGATATATTTCGGTGTCAAATGGTGTTCATTAAGCGACGAATTCAATACATTAGAGCTGATAGAAAATGTGGTCAATTGTCGACCGTTTCGGGTATTTGCGGCCAATTATGTTGACTTAGGTATGGGTGCGAACACTCAGGCATATGCCAAACGGACGGGCAGACCGTGTAATGCCAATCATACTTGGAAAGCCGATGCTTACCATAATTTAACAAGTGTTACAAAGCAAGCAGATATACCACGAGGTGATAATGATTATCAAATAATAGCCAATAAATATCTCAGGCAATATGTATCGGAGCGTAAATACTGTTGCCGTTTGGGTTTTTATAGGTATGTTAATACAGATTGAGTGCTATTATAACAAAAGTTACAATATATTATCAATTGTCTTAACTGTGGTATAATTTTTTACAGCAATAAAGCGGACAATAAATACAAAGTCGTCGCCAATGAAATTGATTTTGTAATAAATATTGGCAAAGAGTGGAACCGCTTGAGCGCCGATAGCTATCACATCGTCGACGCCTTCATTGGACACCCCTTCCAGACCGTCGACAAGTTGCGCCAATTCAGACACCTATACCCCCAGCACAGGGGCGCACATCTCACACACCCTACCGGTGCTGTCAAGAGGCTGTGTAAAGCCATGAAACAATGTACGGGTGGTGTTGTGTGTCTGGTTGTTGGGCCCGGTGGTAGGCGCCACTCGGTCGCAGCCACCGATGTGTACTCAAGAGTTTTCGTTATGGTAGGCAAAGCTCGCCATAGAGTTTGTATGTATTGATAGTTAACCCGATTTCTAAACATCCCGTTTCCCTCACTAATAATAATGATTTGGTTCTTAAGGCTATTATTTTGATCCGTTGCCGAAGGAAAGGGATCCCAACCCTCTGGTGATTGAGATTAAGAATAAAATGGCCAGAAATACACGGATATTGTGCGCGAATGGACGGTCGGACGGCGCCGGAGGCCGAGAGTGTATCCGCACGTGTCTTGATTTTATTTCAATCGTTTTAAGCGATAGGTTATGGACTGAACGGTATGTCTGGCGGACACCCAGTGCTAGAAATTGAGAGATTTTTAATTGTTTTGTGTGTGTTTTCACTCAACTATCAAATATTGTATACGTTTACAGAAATTGTTTGCGTTAACCGTTTGATTGATATCTGTAGTGATGTTTGCGATCAAACATTTGTTAAATAGGCGTCAAAACATTTATTGTTTTGATGAATGTCTGAAAATATGTTTATTATGTGTTTATTCATTGAATTAAAAACATTTGATCCAAATATGAAATTTAGGATTTAGTTATTACTAATAATTATTAGTATTGAAATTAATTTTTAAAAGAGAGCACAAGTCATCGCATAAAACATAAATTCATAAATAGATTTATAACTTTTAATTTTTTAATTTTTACACAGAATTTATATAAATTATTTATCAAATATTGTGTTAAATAACAACTATAAATTGCTTGTAAATTTAATCTAGATGGGAGATGTTTTAATAAACAAATCTAACCATCACGCAATATCTCAAATAACAATTCTGTGGCCAAGCATTTCGATCACTTCTTTGAGCGTCAAATCAAGTAAAAGGCATTGAAATTGAGTTTTCTTATCACTGCAAACAGACTTCAATTCATTTTGCAAGTAATCAATGTTTAGCTCATTGTTGTCCAATTCATCTTGGTGTTAAACAATTCAAATAAAATATAAGCTAGTTAGTTCATCGATATAATAAACATGTAAAACAATGACTAACCAATTAGTTTCTTTGCCGACTCTTTGATCCGCTGCTCCATCTCATCATCAATTGACGGATCCGTTGGATCAGTTGCGGTGACAATTGCGATGACTATTACCAAAATAATTACCGTCACATAATTCATAGTTTTACACACAAAATACTGTATAAATTATTAATTTTAATACTAATATCGATTAAATAATAGTCTGAATAGTATTTAGTAAATAACTGATTATATATCCAGTCGTACAAAACAACCTGTTTTTAACAATGATATTAATTTGATTTACAACTGATTTATGAGGTATTTATGTTATATAAGATGTGATTATTGTTTTTGTCATTTATTGCTTGACATTAATCAATAGTTTGATAAAACATAAGCATTGCTAACAATAAGTGTCGTCCAGTCGTTTAAAAAACCTGTTGCTTCATTTTTCGTTATATCGTGCAAACAAAATGAGCTAGATCAAATCGGTGAATCTAACAAGTAAGTTATTCTAGCAGTTATTCACTACAAAATTAATAAATAGGTAAAAATAATTATAATTATAGTAATCTTATTAGTAGATATAATAAAGTAATCATATTATAATAATGTTATTAAAATATTATTAAATCTACAAATATGATAATTGTATAAAACTTGAATCTAAGTATCGCCTAATCAGATAACTTAAAAGCAATAAACAAACTAAAATGTATTAATTAAATAATTGCTTTAATAGTGATTTCATTACAATAATTATAGTAAAAACAATAAATATTTGAAAAGAGGACTATTTATACAACAAATATATTATATAAAGTTATAAATTATAATAAACAGTAATTACAAAGACACCATTGAAAGCACAGTCAATCCTCTCTTCGCATTCTTCATGTGTTTTACAGTTTGGCTAAGGAGTGGGCGAACGGCGCCGACGGCTGAGTAGTTGAGGGGACTGTTTATATAGGGTGTCGGCCGACGCGGCCACCGGTTGCGGCTCTGGTAAGGCTGAGCGTCGAGGTCGTCCTCCAGTTTTGGCCACTTCGTTCATCAAGTCATCTATGTCTGGCAGGGGCTCACAGCCGGCATTGATAATAAGAATCATCACTATAACCCCCAGGCATATCATGTTTTTCATCATGTTCACGGTTTAGTCGTAATAGTAGTTCTCTATTCACGCAATTAATGTCAACCGCTGTAAAGACTGTGAAGTTATGTTTAGTTTGCTAAAGTGTTTGCGTTAATATAGGAATTGCTGTATTTTTTGTATGTTGTCCATATGGTTTGATCAAATTGAATTAAATTAAATGTATAATTTAATGTAAATGCATAAGGATACCACAAAAACTGCATGAATAAAATTAAACATACGGCTACTGACAACCAAAAGTGGTATCTGTATTTTGCGATTTACAGCTCACCCGATAGTCATATCCAAAAACTGATTTCACCATGTTAAAGCCAGATAGATTTCTGATTTTTCCATGTACATAAAACTTTATTAAACAGTCCTGGTATATTTTTTAAAATAATGTTTTTACAAACAAATTTTTCCATAGAAAAACAATGGAGAGTTTGTAATTAAAAAATTCTGTATTGCAAAAACTAAAAGTCCTAGCTTAATTATGTTTTCACCATTCGAACCAATTTTAAAAATAGCATCGAAACGTGTATTAGTATATTTTAAAAAATCTATATTAAAAAAGCAAGATTATCACAAATTAGTTACTCGGCGCTATTGGCTATATTTAATTTATTATCCAACAAATGCAAATAGACGTATCGACTAATTTTTAACGTTGGTTCGAATGGTGAAGACAGAATTAAGATAAGACTTTTAGTTTTTGCTATACAGATTTTGCTTAATTATAAAGCATATCATTGAGCTAGGTTAAAAATATTTTATCATCATATGTACATTATTGTTCCATGTTTGTGTATAAAATTTTACAATATTAATGGTTAAGAAGTTATTGTAATTTTAAGATTAATTTTATTTATTTTTGGTTTATTAATCAATAGATTTCTATTGTTTTCTATGAAAATATTTGTCTATAAAAACATCAATTAAAAGAATATACCAAGACTGTTTAAAAAAAACTTTATGTACATGGAAAAATCAGAAATCTATCTGGCTTTAACATGGTGAAATCAGTTTTTGGATATGACCATCGGGTGAGCTGTAAATTGCAAAATACAGATACCACTTTTGGTTGTCATTAGCCGTATATTTAGTACTTATATTCCCCGTTATTAATGTTAATGGTATGAATTACTTTCTAGTTTATTCTAATCCATACATTCCCCTCTCAAAAACAATTAACATAGTTTGTGATTCTGGACAAAGATCACAAAATGTTATGTTTTATGCAAAGGTTCACCCTTTCAGTGAATGTAAATGTTATTTTGTTGCAGTTTTTACTTAATAAGTGTTGTTGAATTAATTGGTAATTTTAACCTTAAAAATTCGTTGAGTTTTAATTAAAATTAACTTTATGTAAGATCATATGTTTTTATGATATACAAGTACAGCCCGTCAAAAACACTGTTACCCACACCCACCCCTCTCTTTCTACTCCCCTCTATGTATTTCAAATGGATTTTGTAAGTCCCCACTAGAGATTGAAAAATCTTAAATTTTTTGGTTTGGTGTCGTGTCGGTGTCGCGAACATTATAAAACTCAGTGTCGGTGTCGGTATCGTTAGTGTCGTGAGTGTTGTCAGTGTCGTGAGTATCGCGAGTATCGCGAGTGTCGTGAGTGTCGTTAGTGTCGCGAGTATTGTCAGTGTCGTGAGTGTCGTATTACTATACTAAGCAATACATAGAGTGCTTATTTGCACCTATTTAATACATATAATACATATATATCCCTCCGCGCATTATTCAATCCAATAGTCACTCCCAAATGTTTATTTCTATGTCTGGTAATATCAGTAGTAGCGAATGTTAGTTATGTTGAGCATGCGCAGTTTCATTTGTATAGTTAGTGTCGCGAGTATCGCGAGTGTCGTGAGTGTCGTGAGTATCGCGAGTGTCGTGAGTGTCGCGACACTAGTGTCGGTGTCGTATCGGTGTCGCGACACCGATACCGACACTCAGTGTCGCGAGTATTGTGTCGCGACACCGACACTACATTTTCAATCTCTAGTCCCCACCCCTTATAAATGTAACGTTCAGCGAATAACATTATGCGTGACCCTTCAAAGTATCTTTATTATCTGTATTATTGTATAATTTGTAAAAATTTTAATAATAAATAATTCTGGTTTTTGGCCTCAAATAAAAGTCAAATTTTAAAATAAAGCATATATATTTGCGCTTTGTAAAATTTATTAAATCATAAAAACACAATCATTAAAAACATTTTAATCGTAATAAACATAAGTATGAATTGATTTGCGGTCAATCTTAGCGCTCAGTTTACCGGCCGTAGTGTCCTCTAACGTAAACTCAATGTCTGTCTCGTCGTTGTTCACCACAACCACAACTGTAGAGCCGTGTGGTGTACGAAAGGCACCGGCAGTAGCTTTATTACCCTGTTGTGTGACTGTGGGTGAGTCGACCCGCACAGAGCCGGGCGGCAAGAATTTACTGAAGTGCGCCATCGCGTAAAACGACGGTTGTCTGTAGTACTCGTGACCGGCGGGGTTGGCAATTATGGGCGCGTCCACAAAGTTACTGACCCATGTGGGCCCTCCCTGGGTGTCCAACACCATATTCCAGTCGGTCCAGCCCACAGTGTGGTGCAGTAGACTCTGTTTATAATTATGGTAATTGTATTAATAAATTATCATAAGTTGTTATAACCGTAATAATTATTATAGTAACTCAATCACTCACTCCGAGTATATCGTAAGCGTATCTCTCGGCCAATTGCCAGAGGCCGAGCCGCACGTGCGGACCCATACAGGCCTCGGTGGCCAGTATGAACTTGTCCGGGTGCTGGGCGTGAGGCTCGTCCAGATAGGTGTGCGGCGAACTCGAGTACCAATGGGTGGCAGTGCCGGCCGCGTACTTGCGGGCGCCCGCGTCAGCGAATATAACCCGAACCCACTCTTTGATTAGATCCAAGTTATGGTCCAAAATCATAACTTTGAGTTTGTCGGGACCCCAACCGCTGCGCTCCAGCTCTGGGCCCAGCGTTTTGACCAAAAAGTCGCGCATCTGTTCCGGTGTGTAGAGCATTGAGTTGAACTTCTGGTTAGCCCGCGGCTCGTTTTGGATGGTTATACCCCAATGAGTGATGTTGTGGGCCTTATATGCGTTCAGATAACTACAGTTAAATTAAATGAAATAGGTTTGCATGTTTAATGGAGTTTATCATGGTAACTATTGTAATAATTTTAAAATAATTATTAATTAGAGTTAAAATTTGGCGCATACTTACTGGACAAAATAGTTGGCCCAAGTCTGCCAGTACTGGGAGCCCACCTCACCCTTAATGCTTCCGCCGTGCACTAAGTCATTGTTGGTTTTCATCCATTTGGGTGCAGACCAGGGGCTGCCAAACAGTCTGATCTCGTGTGTGGCCAACGCTTTCGCTTTCAATATGGTTGGGATCTATTAAATTGTGATTAAAAACAGATAATTATAAATAATTATCACAACAAAACCCAAGACAACAAACCTTATACTGGAGGTCTTCGGCGGTCAGATTCCACTTCTTGAGCGTCAGGTCATCGCCGGAGTCGTCGAGAGCGTAGGGACGGGGAGAGAAGTCGGAGCCGCCAATAGGTATACGACCGACATTGTACTCAATGCCCTCTTTGCTGAAGTAGTCGTCCAACACCTGAGCGCCCAATTTGTCGCCCAATTTATTGATATTAATACCGGTCGAGTCGGTAAACGCACCGCCAAAGCCAAATATCTCCTGGTGCTTTAAGTCTCGGTTTACCTTAATGTGCAACTGGGCGGCCAGTGGGTTGCCCTCACTGTTCACTTGTTTGTTAAAGTGTAGGCTTTGTTTGCGAAGTCTGGCCCCGTCTCGGCTGGACTCCCATCGGGTGACAACATTGGGCTCTGTTTTGACGGCGCCGACGATCCGATCGCACGGTTGGCTTTCGGTGCAAACGCACACAAACGAGTCGTGTCCCGACTGCTTGTGGTTCTTGCAGTCCGGCGTTATGGCACACAAACACCCGGTGCTCGCGATTACAGTTAGTGTTATGCACAGTATGTATGCATTCATTGCTCGACTTTTGTTTTAACAGTTTTAAGAGTTTTTTAAATAGTTTTATATGAGAATTGTTTGCATGTTTTTAATAATTATCTAGATTAGGGTATTATGTTTAATGATTAATTGTGATAATTAATGCTTTCAATGCATTTCAAAACGGATTTAAATGTCTTTTATCGCATTATTAATAAAAGTATAAGCCGTTGATGGAGTGTTTTGCACCTGACATCAACTTTTTTCTCATAGGATTAATATTGTACCAAAAGTATATGTTAGGTTTAAAAGTACCTTAATTCTAAATTGCTCTCATTTTCAATATTAGCCATTTTACATAAAAATAAACTTTTTTGTCCGACTTATACTTAAAACGATTTATATAATTATCTAGATGGACGTTTCAACATGATTGCATTTTATTGATAAAGTGTCCTAGTTCTACTACTGGTAATAAATATTTAATTTGTTTTGTATTAGTATATATACACTGTACTGTAAATTGGCTTTACATTTATATTTAATAAAATTAACTAGTTCACAATTGAGAATTGTACCAAAACTCAGATTTTTATTAGTGTTTACTTTGAATGAATCTCTTTGAGCGTAGGGGTCGGGCGGAGGTATCGGTGCCAACACTACTACAACTAATTTGAATATACAGGGGGTTGAAGACGATTCATAGGCGCAGCGGGAGGGGCGCCGCCGATACCAAAACCATTGCGAGGGTCGGTACGGGTAGGACGACGGTCACAGGCGAGCAAATAGGCGACAGACAGCACACTGTAGAGACCCTGTAAGAAACACACGCGCCGGACGGCTACTTCCCGTTGGGCTCCGGGAATCATTTGGCGCACTTTGAACATTTGCCAACTCATGTAACCGCTGAAACCCATCATCAGGAGTGCGCACAACGATCGCAGCCAACGGTAAACACCACGAGGGGTGAGCCCATAGAATTGGCCGCCGTTGAAGCCACGTTGAGGGCCACCGGCGCCGACACCGCCACCATTTCTACCACCGGCGACACCTCTGGCGCCGACCGGTTGCGGCGGAGCCCAAAGCTTGACTTGTCTGGGCCCGCGTGGGATGACAGCGCGCGATGGCTGTGCGGTTCCCTTCGGTTCCAACGCCGGCACCCAATATCGTCTGTGCGACGACTGTCGGCCAGTGTTTGCGCTAAACATCTGTTGCTGTCGTTGAATGTGTAGACAAAAGTGGTGTTTGTCTTTGATTTTGTGTTTTTATTTGATTTTTAAATTTTTTATAAAAACTATTAATTTTAAAATTTTAATTTTTGAAAATTTTTAAATACAATTATTTTATTTTTTTGGCATTTTTAAACAGTATTTTATTTTGATACATTTTTTGCAACATCATAAGATTGTTTTATCAATTACATAGTTAATTATCAATTATGAATTGAATGTTTATTTCAATTAGATTTCTTAAAAAATTAATTATTGTTGATATATTTTATATACAGTATTACCATTATTAATTAATTTGGTTATTATTATCTTGCTTTAATTTTATTTTTATTATCTTAAGGTTTCTTTAGATTACTTTTTAAGTACTGTATATGATAAAATTATTTGATGCTAATTTAATATTATATTTTTAAAAGTTTATTGTTATTTCTAAAAATACATTTTTTATGTGTAAAATCGTGAGAAAACGAAATAATACAATGTAATAAATAATTATGAGTTATATTTATAAATCACACAAAAACAATATTAAAATGAACTTATAATTCTAAAAATTTGTGATGTAATCATGGTGCATTAGAAATCATATAACATTGTTTATAAATCAAATTGATTGTGTAGTAAAGAACTAAAATAATTATATTTTTATTGGTAAATATAAATTTAATTGTCATAGAGTACAGTGCGATAGTACGTTCATTGCTTCCGTTAAATACGGTAATAAATAATATAAATCATTAAGGTACTATTGATTTCTCTTTGTTTTTATTATTACTTACTCTTGAGTGTCATAATAAAAAGTATAAATACAAAATAAAAAATATATTTGATTTTTAAATGTTCTTGATACTAATTGTACTAATTCTTATAAGGACATATCGTATACGTTCAATGTATGCAAATAGTTTTAAACATAGTTAATGTTAATTTGAGAATTAAAATTTGTATTTGTTTAAAAATAAAAACGAGAAATTATTACCGGAGAAATGGGTGATGACAAAAGTGACACTGGATTAACAGTTAAAAGCAAATGTATAATAATTAGCGATTTATTGCAAACGTTACACAAATACGGATTAATTGGCGACACCACTCTCTTTTCGGACACCTCTCTGACGGCCATTAAGACAAATAGATTTGCAAAATTCAGCAAATATTACCCCGTTTTCATCCGAGTTGTGCTGATCCTCTACTATGCCTTGTGTTTGATAACGGTTCAAATCCGTGGGCAAATACCCCGATACTATTTCGATATGACCATACACTTTGACACTATACCACAATTTCAGTACACCGTTGAGATATTGTGCGCTTTCCTGTCATTGATTACAATATATTTGTTTAATTTTAGTTCAAAGACTAGCTATCAATGGCTTAAAATGTTTGATACGATCAGGTCTTATGAAATACAGTATATAATCGGTTGTAAAACCAAACAAAACATTACTGACAGAAAAATATGCGCTTTTATTAGACGAATAAGACTTTTATACCGATTGACACCAATTGTCTGGGTCTGGGTATTGGTGGCCACATTCTCCATGGTCACTTTAGTAGCCGCAATTAGCCTTGATC